AGGCGGTCGGAGGCACGCGTCTCCTCCATGTGTCGTTCTGCGTCCATGCCGGCAAGCATGTCCTGCAGCAGGTGGGCGATCCTCCTCAGCAGCTCATTACTAGGCAACCGCTCCTCCGTTCTCAAGCATGTCCTGCAGCAGCTTGGCGAGCATCTGCCACGCGATCTGCAGGCCGACCGTCACCTTGTCCTCCGGCTCGATGCCGTACTCCTGCGGCACCACGTACGACGCGAGCGTGCGCGAGGCGCGGAACAAGCGCGGCAAAGCCTGCAGCAACGCACCGAAGTGACGGGACCGCCTCGGAGCCCTCTCGCACCCTTCTCGGAGCCGGCGCGGCTAGGGCCTGCAGCCCGAGGTGCTCGTTGTGGACCATGTCGTACAGCGCATTGTCGTAGATGTCTGGCACCTTTGAGGTGTCAAACACTTCCTTGCGCGAGCTGTACAGGTCCTTGTGCAGCTGCGCCCACCGGCCGAGCTGGAGGTGCGGCGTCTCGCCTAACTCACACCCAACTCGCCCCTAATTCACCCTTCCTTCGGCCGAGCTGGAGGTGCGGCGTCTCGCCTAACTCACACCCAACTCGCCCCTAATTCACCCTTCCTTAGGCCGAGCTGGAGGTGCGGCGTCTTGCCGTTGGCTGCGGAATGCCTCGCCGGTGCCGCAACCTTGGAGGAGAGAGGTCACTCTTCACTATCAGCGAGCAGACAGCCTCACCATCAGCGGTGCCGCAACCTTGGAGGAGAGAGGGCCTGTGAACATCGTCTCTTCACACCTCTAGCTGTGAACAAGTGCCGCAACCTTGGAGGAAAGTTTGCCCGACGAGACAGCCACGTCGCGAGAAGGGACTCGAGGGATGCCGATGCTCGACGCGCCTATTAATGCATTGCTCGATGAGTGATTCACTATGAACTAGCAGCCCGAGGATGCCGATGCTCGACGCGCCGCCGCCCGCGCTGCTCCTCGCGCGTAGCTCCCGCACGAGCTCCTATTCACATCTCCCCACATCTCCCCACATCTCCCCATATCTCCCCGCGTAGCTCCCGCTCGAGCTCCTCGACTAGCTGGTGCAGCCGCTCGAGCGCCTGGCGCGGCGCCTTTGCATTCTCGCTCAGCCAGGCGGAGAGGAGGGAGTCGGAGGCGAGGCCGCCCTCCGCCGCCGTCGAGGGCGCCTGGCGCGGGAGATGTGGGGGAGATGTGGGGGAGATGTGGGGGAGATGTGGGGGAGATGTGG